TGAGCTCTGTCGGTCCACCGGGTGGGTCCCTTACACATTTACAAATATATGGAGTATGATGTTACAGACATGCTAACAATAACAATAGTTGCTGTGTTCTCTGGTCAGTGTCCAGGCTTTTCCTCAGAGCTGTGGGAAAATCTGTAACACCGTGGCTCAGCCATCGGCTATTCAGGTCTGGGCAATGGGCCCAGCCTGAACAGTTCAACAGTAAAACATTAAAAATGCAGTAGGACAGTGCCCCATAATTGCAGTCCTATGAGCTTTGCTCTATAATTCCAGCCCTACGTACTGCATTCAAAGACGTGCAGTGATGACAGACCATTGTGATTCTGGCAATTGATTTTTCTAATCTTAACCACCAAATTCAAGCATACATCCAAGAGTACAGCTTTTCATCTCAATACTAGCTTTTGATCCTTTGAAGATCATGCATTCCATTTTTGCATCCCATGTATATCCCTGTTCAATGTTTTTTGAATCTGTAGCTGTGATCAGAATGCTGTTTGCTTAAATCCTATAGCTAGCAGAGTGATGTCACTTTTGGGCCCTTGAGCAAGGCCCTTAACCCCCAGTTGCTCCAGTTTGAGCCTGGTTTCTCAATTGTACATTGCTTTGAATTAAATGTGCATACTAAACAAACAAATGTTAATGTAGGAGAAGCGTTTATGTAGTCAGAGTCTACATGATTCAAACATGTATGTTTAAGCTATCTACTCAACCGTGCAATAAGCCGCTACAAATGGAAATGATGAGGCCTCCGAACCTAAGCCAGGAGCGTCACCCCACGCCAGGTCCCATCATGTGCTGTCCTCTGAGCCCCTGGGCTTTGGTTCCAGGGAAACAAAGCACCTTCTTTGTGTGTAGGAAACTAGACGAGCTGGTGTTTTTTCAGGCAGCTAACCTTGTGGATCTGACCTTAATAAACAGACAGAGGACAACAGGCCCCACAAACCTTCTCTTACTCATGTTTTATCACTACTCTTGTTTCTGTAAGCAGGCCTTGATGTGGAGAATACCCCCTAGTGGCAGAAAACAGAAGGACTTGACTAAAATAAAGTTATATGTTTTAAAAGGAGAGGACATCTGTGTTTTTAAGCAAACCAGACAAAACAGCCATTATCTAAAAGCATAAAAGGACAACAAATCACCTCACTGGCATCTACAAGAGCCATTAGCCTCATGGCATCTGCTCAAATGCTTCATTCTCCACCTACGTTTTCTGTTAATGAAGTTTCATTTGGGACATCGACAGCCTTGTTCAGAATGACCAGATGTAAGCCTTCCAGCAAATCCCCATAAAAACGCACTCAGACATAGACCAAACGACTTACAGCATCCAAGAAACACAACAAACACAGTCGTTGCATGGCTGAATGACACAGGGAGCGAATATTCCAGAAGCAAGGTTGGAGGTCTACAGTCCCATGACCCCATGCCATGAAAAGAGGAATGTTATTCCAGGTCTCCATCAACACTTTCTGATTACTGAGGGCGGGGCTGCGGGGGTGGGGGGAGGGGTGAATGGCTGTCACCACCGTTACAGCGGGACCAGCTCAATAACCCCACAATCACACATATGTAAACAGACACGCACCGCATATTCAACTTATGCAAAGCATGATACCCATAAACAAAAGAATGAAACAACAGGAAAAGATCCAAACAAACAACGCTGTTCGGCGCCAGCCCAGATCTGTCATGGGAGCAATCCCACAATCGCACTGCATTTCTCCTTGGGGAGACCTTCAGTTGCCAGGGTACACCAGAACCACCACCAATTAATTATGTGGGAAGAATGTCAATATTAATTGGCAAGTGGCCACTATGTCCCCTGGCCTCTTGTGGCAAGGCAGAGGAGCGTAGAGTTGCCCTTGACTAAGAATCCTATGAAGGTCAAAACACCAGTGGACCTCTATGCGTTTCTGTTTCTTTGCTTGCTGGATAAAATGAAACCTTTCAGTCTTCAAACCGGACATTTCGGAGCTTTATTTAAAGTATCACCCACTCTTCTACGCACTTCCATCCATTTATACGGCAGGGAGCAAGTGAGGTTAATTGCATCTTGCAGCAGAACCTCTCCAGATGTGAATCTGCAGCTTTTTGGTCACAGGCTTCTCAACCAATCACCTACTTAAATGTTCTCACAGGCCGCGTCAGCTGGCACTGATCGGGGATCGACGCCGAAGGCCATTACCAGCTTTCATCCTCACCCTCCTCATCTTCAGAGCATTTACCGCGACATCTGTCCTCGTAGCCTTTGCTTTGGGATCCCGCTTCGCAGAACAGAGTAAGTGGAATTTCGGCCGTAAGATTGGAAATTCGATGAATGTGCACCAGAGGTGCAGAGCTTCAGCTAGTCATTGAAACTAGCTGAAGGTAGTTTTGCAAATGTGCCTGCACTATTGGTGTATGAATGCAAGAGGGCGTATTCCTTCAGAAGGATTGGCCAATGAGATAATGGCTTTTATCAGCCAGACCAGAACCAACCAGCGAGTACCGATGCCAAAAAAGGCCAACCTCTCTCACTGCCTAAATGTGCTTCTCCCTGCTTGTCTGAATCCATCACAGGCATCATCCTGATAGGTGTGGGCTGCATCATGGTGAGTTAATATTCGTACAAAACGTGACAGAAAAAGGGCACAGCTTAAATCTGTAGCCTTTTGGTCAATGAATGTTAACCCTCAAATTAATTACATCTGGAGAGCAGGCGCTGTCAGCAGAAATTAAATGGATCTTAAATACCACAGTCAAGAGCGAAGTAGCATGCCCGCTCCACGGCCACTCAACTGGGAACCGTTTATTTCCAGGCCTGAAGGGCAGCCCCCAGATGGACCTCAGCCGAGGCAGGCAGCATTGGGGGCGTGTTTGACCCCAGTCTTTATAAAGATTGCAGACATTTACAAAGATCTGGAATGTGAATTTTGCTTCAATGCAACGGGTCGATACTTTGGTTCGTTAAAAGGCGCAATGTTCAGCATCTTTGTTAATGATTATGTTTGTAGTTATTCGGTGTGTGTGTTGTGGGAATCAGCAGACATTCTCCTGGGCGTATGTAAATATGCGCAGATACACCCCCCACCCCAGGCAAGCAGCCCCGCGCCTTTTCCCCACCAGCTGCGGCGGTGGAGAAAGCCATCTCTCCAGTGGGCATCAATCACATTTATGATCATCGTAACATTAGCTTCTCCACGACTGGTGTGGGGAAGCTGTAAAAACATAATGAATACGCTGATGAAGCTGCCCCCACCGCCCCCAACGGGGCCCCCACGCCAGGCCCATGGGTTCAGCGGTCAGCTGCCCGTCCCGGCGCAAAGGCCAGCTCTGCGGGGGTGGGGGGGGGGGAATGTAGCAGGGATGGGGTAATGGGGGCAGGAGGCTGAGCAGATGACCAGGTGGACGGGAGCATAGGGCAGTAAAAAGCTGGTATTAATCGAGACGCAGACCAGCATCAGCCTGCAACGGGCTAGACGCCCCATCTCCTCACCTCCCCCGGGACCCCCAGAGGGGAGGAGAGAGCTGCACCTCATTATTTTCTGCTCCTAATGATGTTCGCTCCCTCCCCTGCCCGCCCCCTGCGACATGACTGGAACCCCCCCCCCTACCACCCCATCCACGGCTGCCCTTGACCCGCTAACAATTTGTTTGAAGCGAGTCCCTGAGATGGTGGTGCTAGTATGTTTGGTGAGGGCACTGGAACGCTGCTGCCCCCCCCCCTCCCAGTGCCCAGCACCCAGCTCCCAGTACCCAGAACCCATCTCCCAGTAGCCATCTTCCTACTCCCAGAAGCCAGCTCCCAGTGCCCAGCTCCCAGTACCCAGAGCCCACCTCCCAGTAGCCAACTCCCAGTAGCCATCTTCCTACTCCCAGTCCTCAGCTCCCAGTACCCAACCCTTAGCTCCCAGTGGCCATCTTCCTGCTCCCAGCACCCAGTTGCCAGTACCCAGTGCCCAGTTCCCAGTAGCCATCTCCCTACTCCCAGTACTCAGCTCCCAGTACCCAACCCTTAGCTCCCAGTGGCCATCTTCCTGCTCCCAGCACCCAGTTCCCAGTGCCCAGTTCCCAGTAGCCATCTCCCTACTCCCAGTACTCAGCTCCCAGTACTCTGGGGCCTATATCTCCTCTCATCCCTCTGTCCCCTTTCATCCCTCATCACCTCTTATCTCTCCATCTCCTTTCATCTCATCTCCTCTCATCCCTCCATCCCCTTTTATCCTTCACCTCCTCTCATCTCTCCATCTCCTCTCATCCCTCCATCACCTCTCTTCCCTCTATCCCCTTTCATCCTTTACCTCCTCTCATCTCTCCATCTCTTCTCATCCCTGTCCTCTTTCATCCCTCACCTCTTCATATCCCTCCATCTCCTTTCATCTCATCTCCTCTGATCCCCCATCTCCTCTCCTGCCTCCATCCCCCCTTTCATCCCTCACCTCGTCTCATCTTTCCATCTCTTCTCATCTCTCCGTCCCCCTTCATCTCTCATCTCCTCTCATCCCCATCTCCTCTCATCCCCCATCTCCTCTCATCCCTCCATCCCCTTTCATCCCTCACCTCCTCTCATCCCCCATCTCCTCTCATCCCTCCATCCCCTTTCATCCCTCACCTCTTCTCATCCCCCCATCTCCTCTCATCCCTCCATTCCCTCTCATCCCTCCATCTCTGCACATTTAATGGTCAGCTTTCGTCCAACCTCATTCCTGGAGAAAGTTCCTGAAATACCACACAGCATGTGCCAAGTTCTTAAGATGGATAACAAACCAAAACACAACCGGTATTACCCAGCATACAGCCCCCATCTGGGTAGAAGGGGCAGTTCACAAACCCTTCCTGACAGAAACAACAGCATCTCACAGAACATTGGTCCATTCTGGAGTATCACAGCCAAAGGAGGATGATTCCTCCCTGTAGACAGAAAGGCCAAAGACTAACAGCTGGTTCAATAACGGGCAGACAGTGGGAGAACTGACAGGCAATATCCCCCCCCCCCCAAAGGCCCTCACCTCTGGTGTTGGTCGCCATGTCCGCCACCTTCTGAAAGGCATCCAGGAAGGCTACTGCAGCCAGCACTGTGGTCCTGGCAGCGCCCAGGGAGAGAGAGAAAGAGAGAGAAAGAGAGAGAAAGAAAACAAGGTAGATTGAGAGAGCGTTCCTTCAGCTTGAATTTGACTTTACGAAACTGACAAGGAAAGTGGAGAGAAAAAAGGCCTGCAAATCCTACGGCAGAGGCCTATATACTATAATTGATCCATTTTTAATTCATTTTATACTTTGTTTTTCATTTATCAGTTTTATGTTCAATCACATCTGCCAAATTGAACGAACCAAAATGAATTCAATTCAATTCAGTTCGACTCAATTCAATTGAATGGAACTGAAGGGGTGAGGAAGCTGACTCAGGCCCGTGACACCAAATCAGAGTGTTTGTCAGGCTGCCATACATCAATGTCACGGTTGCGGAGTGAAAGCTGCAGAGTGCAGTCACATGACCGAGGGGTGTTAGCCATTAGCCGCTAGCTGGCAAGGTACAGAAACGTCATGCGGTTTTTGTCCTGCCAGACTCTTACTGCATATCATGTGATATTTCAGGGAACAGCCACAGCCCAGGGACTGTCTGCAATGTCTGTTACGTTACTTATTATGCTACCTTGTAGACTAATCTGAAGTGATTTATAATGTGTAAAAAAGTGTAAAACTTCACGCAGCTGGACCTCAAACATCCTGTTAATGACTTTTACTGCAGTAAAGTGAGACATATCTGTTTGGGACAGTGGTTTGGGTCATATAACCTGCATGAAGGTGGGTGGGTCACCTGAAGGGACTCACCTGAGCTGGGAGTGGAGTTTGGTGGCCTTGGTACTGAAGTCCTCCCATATCGGGTATGAGCACTACAACAGGGGAGAAAGGCAAGGGTCAGGTGAGCAAAAACATGATTGGGCAGACATGGAGGGGGCAGGGCTGAAATGCTGCAAGGAATTCTGGGTGGTGACATCACCTAAGCAGCAAACCTAGGGCGTTTCTCAAAACCAAGCATGCAAAGATTGCATTTGTGGTCTTGGCAAGACTGGTCTTGCTAACTTGCCCCCCAAACAACGAACTTGGGGTGCAATGAATCATGGGATTGGTCTCCTTTGGCGAGGATGCAACTCACGTATCATTGACATTTGGGCCGGGGCAAGAACTACATCCAGGGGGTTTTACCATTCTCTGTACTTCTACTTTAGTACTTCTGTACTCGAACTGGGCTTCAGCAATGGAAGACAACGTAAAATGTATATGTGAGAAACACCGCTAGTGTATAGGACAGTCCAGTTACAGTTTAATAATGGCAGTTAATTGCACTCAGCTCCATATAAATCATTGCTTAGCATTCTACATTCTCATTTGCCATATTCTCCCCAATCAAGTCTTTAGTCAGCTGTGACCTCACCAATTGTTTTTCATGCCTGGGGTCACCATTTTGGCCACCACATTACCTATGAGGTCTGCTCTGTATTATCTGGCCCCACAGGCGTGAGAAATTAGCCACAGGTAACGCGATCAATGGTACCGGCACCGGGCCTGATCTGGTGTGATGCCAAGGCCTCATTTATCTTCTTGATGTCTCTTAATTCAGTCTGGAATCAAAGGGCAATTCCCCGAGGGCAGCTACCCCCGGCGGAAGCCACGCACACACAGACGGGGCGGTCTGCCATCGATCCGGGCGGCCTTGCGAGCGCTGATAAAGGCGGGGGGGGCTCCGACCCAATCGCAGGCCGGCTTCATTAGCACGTTTTGAATATTAATCAGATGGCAAAGCTGGCTTAAGTCTCTTACACCAGGCCTTTCCCTGGGGGCTGCGTACAGGTTAATATCTCCCCCAGCTTGGTCCCAGGCTGTGAGATATGACCCAGAAATAACAGCGTTAATTCCCTCCCCAGCCAACCAACTCTACCGCACAACACAATGGCTCCCTATAGGTGAATCTCCCAGCTCCAGGCAGGAGAAATTACACACACTCATGCAGTCGTACGCATACACACTCATGCAGTCGTACGCATACACACTCACGCAGTTGTATGCATACAAGGCAATGGAAATACATACAAACACATGGACTGTAAACAAAAATAAAGTTTTCACTTAGCTACAAATGTAGCAGTTAGTCCAATTCTCCTCCCACGCCGATAGTAGAGGCAACTTGTTAGGATAATGTAAAACAATACTATGAATGGCCAGCTCTTACACATTTATTTATTTGGCAGGCGCCTTAATCCAAAGCGACGTACGATTGAGAGAGCAGGATCGGCCAGTCCCTGGAGCAATAGGGAGTGAAAGGCCTTGTTGAAGGGCCCAATGATAAAATCACTCAGCTCGTTTTGGGATTTGAACCTACAACCTTCCACATATAGGCTCAGCATCCTAACCTGCTGAGGCACATATGACCCCCAGCTCAGCCTGCACCCTAGCCTTGGACCCAGCACTCCCTGGGATAGGCTCCAGGCCCCTCTTGCGACCCGGACCAGGATAAGTGGTTGGAAGATAGGGGGGACGTCCTGCCAGCCCCAGGACCACATTTTTCATGCCGCAGCCACGATGCAGTGTGATTACCTCGCGGTTTCTTCCTCCCTGCTTCCACTGCCACTTCCTGAGACATCAGCCAAATCCATCCTTTGCCAGGGGAGACCGGGTTGTCATAGTTACCAAACTGCGGCACACGGGAGTGGCAGAGATACTGGTAATCACTGTTAATTTGTTCCGCAGATGTTTTTATCTGAAATGACTCCAGATATAATACAGGGAAGAGGCATTTCTATCTCATATACAGAATTAAGGTCTTTAATACTATCTGCCACAGCACATGTGAGGTTAAAAATGATCTAAGCTAGGTACATTCTGCAACCACCCTCAGAAGTGTTAAAATCCTGGAGATGCTTAATGGTGGGATCAGGCAGGGCCACAAAAGCCGCCTGGAAACCACACAGCTAATCGCAAAGCTCTCCTGGAGAGAGTGTACTCTCATCAGGGCAGGATGCGGAGCAGAATTCCGGAAGCACGCTCCGTTTTAGCTAAAAGCTCATTGACGCTGACGTTCCACACATGAGCACCTCATCAGACAGGATCGGGAGATTCTGCTTTGGCAGATGCATGATGCTGTGGAAGCGGTGATGACGGCAAATACAATGCGGTCGTGTCAGGAAGGGGAGACCCCACTAGCAATAAGAAGAGGACAGCTGGGGAGTCTAGCTCTGAATTTCACATTATAAAGATGCTTAACATTGTGTATGGAAATTACGAAAGGCTCGGTAAATTAAATACAGTCTCAGAAGATTTAAGCAACAAGAAAAAGGAATTAGTTGAGATTTTTTTATATGTACTAAGGTGATAAGGTGACAGTTGCATGTCTGGCTCAAATGCTGCAAATTAAAAAAAATTGCATGGGAGACATTTGGAAGAACAATAAATCAGGGAAATTTATATAGTGCATCTGCACTGCCAAGTTCACAGAGCATTTCACAAAACATTTTCCAGGTGGAATAAAAAAAAAAAACAGTTTTCCAATATTGGGAAATATAGGCTCACCATCCCCATGAATATGTGCTTGTGGAAAATGGAAGGATGAAGATTTTTCCCTTTAAAAAGGCCACTTGAAACTAGTGATTATAAATACAGTAATCACAAATACAACTGTAGGTACTACATAAATATCTCTGGAGCACAGATGACAGCAGCCAAGAGTAAATTGTTTACTAATCCAGCTACTGGAGGTAGGGTACAGTCAGTAAGCACCTTCACAGAAGCACCAGGCTCCATTCTCTATAAGTAGAATCTTTCTTCTGAGCAAGGAATTCTGAAGACTCTCCGTGTTCATCATCTACAACATACGCCTAAGAAAATGACTGTAACTCCTCCATCTCTACTGGATTTCTCACAATATCCATTTAGATCGAGCACCTTAATCACTATGGCACCTGCTGCCCACTTCATTCCTCAGACTAAGGTCCAGATCAAGCAGGGTTAGGAGTTGGTCCACCTCTTTTGGTCAGGCCTGCACCATCGTCACTAAATCTTCCTCAAATTCTCAAAGGCCACGATGCTTTGTGTTGCTAGGCTGCAGATGCCAGGAGCCCTGGTGGAATGTACCATTCTGCCTCAGCTCGGGATGCCGGGGATGGGACAAACCAATTTGAAATCAGATAGGGGAAGAGACAACCAGCCACCTTGCCAACGGTTAACATCAGTGCCAAGATGGATTACTATTATTTTTCAGCACATTTCCACACGAATGTATCGATGCTCACAGATATAACTAAAGAACAGATTTCAGATGAGATTGTTTGCTGCATAATTTATGAGCATACTGCTGTCTGGCTGTAATATTAAAGGGGATGCCGTAATGTTTATATACCATCTCAGGCCCGGTTAAGCAGTCTGTCACTGAGGCATCTGGTTTATCCGTTTGTCAGGAGCACCACATCTCCTCTACAGAGTAATCTCCTTCTCTGTTTTGACGGTGTGGTGCTTGACCTTGCCCACCCTGCCTTCCCAGGCACCTCCGAGGTGATGCAGCCGATCTCAGTGATGAGCCTCTTGGATACCCTACTGCCACCGCCCCGGGGTCCAGCCGCTCTCCTGCAGCCCTGAAAACCACCCCCCCCCCTGGTCAGTAGCTGATTTATTCCAGATACAGAAGCCGCACCGACTTGCCCCCACTTTTCACACGAATTAATGGCCCACCCTGCTGCAGCCTGGGCCCTGTCTACTTTACATACGTTTTTGTGCTTTCGGGAAGCCTTTCAATTAAACGCCGAGGAACAGGCAGGGAAGGCAAACCAGCAGATGGATTGCTCCTCAAAGCACTGGGACGACCTCGCTCAGCACCTCCTACGTAAGGCCTTGGCTGGATCCTCAGCCTTTCCATGGTTTGGCACAGACACCCGCAAAAACTTGCTAGCTACTCAAAAGTCAGTCCCGTCGTCAAATCCCATGTTGCTCTGCTTTTCCAGGAGAGCTTACAGTATATTCTTAATGAACAGAGTCAAGATTGTACTTCAGAGTCAAGATTGTACTTTTTGGTTTTACCACATGCTTGCAACCATGGAAAAAATAATCATTTTCATACTGGAGCCACTTCATAATGCTACTTTTATTTATTCAGCCGACACTTTTATCTAAAGTGACATACAACTGGGAAAGGAGGGTCAGCCAGTCCCTGGAGCAACTGGGGTTAAGGGTCTAGCTCAAGGGGCCAACGGTGACATCACTCTGCTGACCACAGGATTTGAACTGGTGACCTTCTAGCCAAGAGCACAGTATCCTAACCCACTAAGCCACACCCCCTCTTCAACCAATCCATGCAATATTTACTGAGCTACAACACGTCAGTTGAGTTCTTCCGCTCACTAAAAAAATGATACTATGTATCTGCCAACATACAACAACAGGAGCTCCAACAAGCGAAATAATGAAGGAACCCCCCCCCGCTGAAATGGTTCTTCCTCTTCTTCGTTAACGCCACAATGAAGGTTCACTCAAAACCCTGTTGAGTTTGGTATTAGTATTACTACTGGCCAAGCAAACTCCTGCCTTCTTTGGGGATTCAGCCAAACCATGCAAATGAGCTGGTCCCACGAGGGCGAGATGGCTGTCCCCGGCCCTGGGGGGTGAGGATGGGTGGGCAGATGAAGGGGACACACATCACCCTCATCATCCTGATCATCGGTGGAAGTTCTGAAGAATAAACCAATCTCGACTCTACAAGTTCCAGTGACACACTCGAGCCCCGCGACTTCATTAATTGGCCATCTGCAGCAATGCCCTCTGGGGGATTTCAAAGCTCCACAAGGGCAGCAGTAAAGCTTCCTATTGTGAAAACATGTTTCTGGGAAAATATGAACTGCAGACATTGCTTTACGTAATTAATATTCACCCTTTGCCGTCAGCTGATAAAAATGTGTCTCTGGTAGATTTCCCGCCACATAAAGCACATAAAAGTTTTTTACGGTCTGCCTCAGATGAGCCATACTGATGAATCGCGGCACACACACAGAAGAATGTAATCTTTGTTTTTGCACTCTGTTTCCAAAATGACCTTCTAGCTACTTACAAGTACTCACGAGATGCACAAAGATGCAGTCGACTGGGAGGAGGATGTTATCAGTCCACAGAGCACACCAGTTCAATACTGCTCCATGGCCATTAGAACTGTGTTCCAGACTGGATGTCTGTTAATGACTTCTGACAGATTGCTTTGTATACTTCCAGAACTTTCTATGATGTCAAGCTAAACTGACACTCAAGGCTTCTCATATAGTGGACTGTGAACAACAACTATTCAGTACAGTCAGTAAAGAACACACCATACATGCATCCATATACAGTATAAACACCACACACACACGCTCACAGATACGCACACACAAGCAAAACCCTAATCCCAACTGTGACGACCTTAACCCCTACCCAGCCCTAACCAAACAAAATACAAGACTTTCAGCATTATTAGGCAGTCACAAAGTTTTATAAAATTGTTTCCCCTTGTGGGGACTGACAAAATGGTTCCCACAACGTCAAAATAACAGATTTTTATTACATCGTGGGGACATTTGGTATATCAGCTAGCAATGTAATATATGCACACACACGTGAGTAAAGATTGCCTATAGTACTGTGAAACATGACAAAACAAACGTGAAGGAAGACAAGCTCATCATACGTGAGAGAGTCATATGTCAGGCTGACACAACAGAGCTGCTCTCAGAGGTCTCATCTGCACTACTCAGCCTCCTCACCGACTCCCCCCTCCCTCCACTCCTCGCGAGCCTTTACAATTTAATGTGCACCTCTTAAAGGTCTAAAGCTGGGATAGGTTAGCAGGGAACATGACCCCAGATGCAGTTATCCCCCCACTGGTCTGATCTTACAGCCAAAATAACCTTTAAGGAATGCATTCATGCCCGGATGTTCACATGGGTGAACACACTGAGATAGAGACACACGCACACCAGCGCATTAACATACACATGCCAATAAATATCCCAAAGAAAGTATCTAGAGTGACTCTCCCTTTCAGAGATGGTGCCCAACGCATCACAAAAGGGATCTCCTAAATCCTGCACTGTTTGGATTTTGGGGGGACTCTCGACATACTGGGAACAAAGGCGAGCCTGAAGGAGTGCTTCATTCAGAGCCCCTAAAATGCGCTGGCCTTATTGTCATGAGGTTCCCCCATCCCCCCTCTCCCCTGCCCCCACCCCGGGGGCATTATTGCCAATTAGCACAGACACAGACAGACCACATGTGGAAAGACAACACGGCCAATGGCAGATCTGCGACCGTGCCATCCCAAATCTCAGTCCAAGAGGCATCTCCCATTATCACTGACCATCCCGATTCCAACTGCTATGGGTCTGTTGCAGCCACAAAGCTCTGACCAAGAAGGTCTGTCAACCTACTCGAGATAAACCATCAGAGTGGACAGCATGACCACGGTGGCTTTATTTTTACTCCTCTCTGCACTCTGCTTTTCCTTGTCCTTTGTGCATGATTTCACTCCTTTATCTTCTCCTCCCTGGTTCTCACATTACTCTATTAGTTCATCTCTGTGCCTCTCTGCATGTTGAGGAAACACCAACTCAATGAGTCACATGAGCGATTAACAGGCTGCTGTCAGTGTTGATGCACTCACCATTCCTGCCCATTGACCTGCCTTCCAGCCTTAACAGAAGCCATCTGGAGGTTGATTAAACTCCCAAAAGATCCCAAAAACATGGTGCGATCACACTGGCAAAAAAACGATGAGATGCCACACCACCTGAGTCTAGGTTCCCTTGCCTTCAAGCTGACTTCTATACCAGCTACCAAGGCCAACCTGTACCTACAGCTGAGGTGTAAGCAAGTGTTGGTGCTAGATGAACGAAAAAGTTGGGACAAAGGCAAGCACATCTCATGTCCTCCAAGGACTGGAGTTTCCCACCCCCTGAATTATTCATGTACTGTAAAGGAGGGCAGCCCAGCCAAAGCAACTGAAAGACCGTGACCACTGTGACCGTCTAACCCTGCTTCTCCAATCACAATGCTGCTACTGTAGGAATGGTTTGACCCATATTTCAGTAGCTCTGTAGTCGGGCATACAGCATTGTGCAGACACGTGTGTTTGCGTGTGTGCGAATGAAGAACCACTAAATTATGAATAAGACTGGTTTGTCGCGCGGGGGGGGATGTTGACTCCGAAAACAATTCATCCCAGGTTCATCTGAAACCTTTCGTGTCCTTTGATGTTGACAAGGCTTTGGGAATACTTGGCAGGGATAAATAGAAATTATATTATGTTTAAGTATTCTCAAATGCATAATAATGACGACAATAATGAAGGCAAAGGCAACCAGGGCGAGGGTGACAGAAACAATGACATCCAGCAGATGACTGTCACTATTCGCCATCACCTTATGAATAATTAAAAATAACGTCCTGTAAAAAGGGATGCAGCGGCGTAGCACGGTTTGATACCGATCCTCAGTTCTGCTCTGCTGCTCCGCCGGAGTCCCGGTCAGGCAGTACCACCCTGGCGGCGTCTCCTGGCCGTAAACGGAGGGACGCGTACGGCTGGCAGCCCGGACTGCGGTCCGAGGGCTCCGACGCTGAACCGGCGCTTTAAATTCCTCTTGACAAGAAATCAATGCCATAGCATACCCACCACACAGTGGGAAAAAAGCCGCTCACATAATATACTCCGACCAAATATCGGATCGCAGCGAGAATGACTCGCCAGTTTGGCAACAGCCCGGTGGCATGTCGGCTTCTCATTGTATCCACAGAGCCCCTCATTTGGACCTCTTCACTAAGCACACCTACAGATCATCTAGAGGCACGTTTTGGAGCATCGCAGAAATAATGAAATAAATACCCGTCTAGTTTCTCACGAAATGTGGGTGCAAACAGCTCCAGTTACTAAAATCGATCTGGCTGTCATGGCAAAACAATACCTCCATGAGCGAAGGGGGATGTGAACGCTCCGTGCAAACATGATCCAGTGCAATAATCTAATACAAACATTAAAAGGCACAAAATAACCCGGGAGTAATGACACCCGGTTCCCTAATGCATCGCAAACAGGCGCATCTACAGTATGCATGCAAAACGGATGATCCCCTTGTAACATAACGGGGATTGGCGCGGGGGTCGCTGAAAAACGTATGACAGGACAGAAAAGACACCGTACCTTCATGTCATTGACGATGGCCTGGAAGAGGCCACCCAGAGCCCCGCATTCCTTCTCCACCGCTTCCATGTTAATGGGTCAGATGGAAAAAATACTTCTCTAATAAATTTTCCCCACGGCAGGAATAGCGACAGACCCGGGTCCTCCGATCCACGCGCGTCTAATCCCAGGGTGAGACAGAGGATGCGAGATGTAGGCTTATATCTGGGAGGACAGACTGACTGCAAGTCAGAGAGAGTGGATCCGTGGTGATGGAGAGGAATGAAAAAAGGGAGGTCTGATACCCCCTTTCCCACGCGCTGTCTACTCCTTGCGAGCCGAGATAGAGCATGCAGATGGCTCCGCGAGGGCCACTCGCATCTTCGGCCGGCGACGCGAAAATGAGCTCGCTTTTCAGGATGGGGGGGGTGGACTTTAAGCAAAGACGCGTGGCTGGGGCAGGAGCCGACGAGCAGCGCTCGGCTGTCAGCGGGTGCGGGGCTGCGGTGCGGTTCGGGGGCTGCAAGCCGATCCGTGGGAAGCGAGTGGGGCCGGCCTCTCCCTGTCACATGGAGCCGAAAGGGAGGGACACACACACACACTCAACAGCCCGGCCACATTTCAGCGAGATGAAAAGGGAAACGTCAAAGAGATTTACTGCTTTACAATGTAGCGGGGGTGAAAGAAAATGTAACCCGGACTCAGTGTGCTGCCATGTGTTTTAAAAAGGAAGGGGGGCAGATCGTTGCTGTTAAACATTTGCTCACATTGGTTTATACAGAAATCAAAGATGTGTCTCTCATAATTTTTGTTTCATCCAGTAATGAAACAGGGTACATTTAAAGAAACGGCTACAGAACGACATACTGTAATAATGCTTCGGTACCGTTTGAAAGTAGCCAATATAATATGGTCGAGAGTGGTGATTTAATCCGGTTTGATTGACCAAATCACCTGCAAGGACACGCTGGCAACTCCAAAAGCATTAACATTGGATAAATGGTAAATGGACACCGCTGAATACTTATCTAGAAAGAGGGGTACTTCAGTTTAATAAGTACAATTACATGCACTGTTCACATTTTTCGACTATGAATTAATTTAATCGCCATTTATCACAAATTGTGATGTATTTGTCATCCATTTCGCTACTTATTTCTTCATTTCTCCTTCATGTATTTGAACAGTTGTGCGGTTGGTTTGTGTAACTATCTCCAGAGGAAAAGGCAAGCTAGACCTGTCCTAATTACAGCAACCAGGACTTTCTGAAGTGACTTTAACTTATTTTTCAGATAAAACTCAAAAATACTCTTAAGTACTTCATAAATAAGTGTAAGGTTCAATTTAAAACCTAAAAATGGAACTAGAAGAATGCTGTTAAATTGTACCATTATGTAGAGAAAAAGAGTTGAAGTTTCAGGAAATGTCTTAAAGTTTATTACATTCCCTTCCAAAAGACAATGGAAAATAAACTATCAGGATTAACATCCTCATGGGGCAGACAGGGGTAAATACTCACATCAAACACCGGAAAAAGTTTAACCTTGACAGTGGTACCTGTGATTCAGGAATCTCATTTCCTACTTTACTGAAAAAGGCGTGATTTAAAAAGTCTATTAGTATTGTGGCAGTGCTCTAATTTGGTCTGATAAAGTAACCAGGTCACCTCCTCAGAGAGCCCCACCCCCACCCCCCCAGTCAGCTGTGCCACAGTCCCCTCTTACAGCCAGCCTCTCCCTGACGTCTTTTTGCCCCCCCCACCCCCCCGCCCACACAAATTGCACCATCATTCCTGTTCTGCAGCTACTATATAAGTGTTTTATCTTGCTTAGACTGTACAGGCACAAGAATGCCATCACTGCGATTCTCTTCTGGTTTGCTCATTCACAGCCCGCCATAAAAATGTACCAGAATATGCAAAAAGCAGGCTCGGCAACTAGCAAATGGGCTTGAATTTGCATTTGATTTTTGTCGTGCAAATGTAATTCTCCTCTTGTAGAAATGGGGTCTTTTTTTGGATACGGCTCACCAGGGCCCTAGTGGCATGAGGCACACTTGCAGAATTATGACAGGGTTCGTCCCCCCGGAGGCAGTACTGGCATCAGCCAGACCCCGGTAGGGCACACATTTCCAAGCGTGTCCACACAAATGCCAGCGGTAGAGGAGCTGCAGGTGCAGCCACAGACCAACACACTAGAGGTGGAGGCTGAGTGGGTTAGAGCCCTTTGTCTGTGATCAGATGGTTGCCAATTTGAATCACATCCTCAGCAAAAGAGTCACATCTCCATTTAGCCTTTCAGCAAGGCCCATAGCCCCCCCCCCTCCCAAAATGCATGCGGGGGCACCAGGTAAAAGCCTAACACCAAACTTCACTCTTACTTGTGTATATCTCAAAGGAGAGCATGATGGGATATGCAGAAACGAAAGCATTCCAATGCACTTGTGCAAATGGCAAATGAAGCTTTATTTCACTGCACTGCACACCCCCCCCCCTACTTCGATATAATGCTGATACCAGTTATTACTATGTATTTATCTGGCTCATATTCATATTCAGAGTGACTTATGCCCACAAGAGAATACAGAGCACTATACTGAATTGGTTTCAGACGTTAATATAGTGCAACTGTTATTACAAATTATGGATCTTTTCACAATCTTTCTCAAGAACTGGCCGAGAATCAAACTCAGCCCTCTACATAATAGGCAAAGAGCTATACCCATCAATCACTCCCCTTGCTCGTTCTCTTATTGGACTAACCAGGCTGCTATAGACAGATTGTCTTCCTTTCAGTTAAGAACCAAGTGAGGCTAGTGAAGGACGCCACAGTCTAGGTGCCATTCTTAGATTAGATTAAAATTTAATTTCATTGTGCAAAGTGCAAGTACTCAGACAACAATATGCGGTTTGACATCTAATCCCAAAGCGCAAAATAGTGTAAAAGTGCTAGAATCAGCTGTACAATACATACATGGTGTGATAAATGAACAGTCAATGGATGGTGTGGTATAATAATGAGTATTTGAACCATCTATGAATGAATGAGACATTCTGTAAAGTGTATTTCTGTATAATAAATATCATATACAGATGATCCTCTACTTACGGACTTTCAGACATAAGAATGAAGAGGACTGTAAGTCCAAATTGTGTTCCTTGGGCTCCCGTTTCCTGTCAGCAACATCTTTTTTTTTCCCGCACGCCAATTCCGCGTAGTACTGTATGACTTCTGGCCGCTACTCCCGCCGCGCAGCAGCGTAGCGTGCGTACTCCCAGCATCCTAGTTCTCTGTACTTATCTCGTTCATTAAGTAGAGGATTGTCTGTATAAATATACACTCACCTAAAGGATTATTAGGAACACCTGTTCAATTTCTCATTAATGCAATTATCTAATCAACCAATCACATGGCAGTTGCTTCAATGCATTTAGGGGTGTGGTCCTGGTCAAGACAATCTCCTGAACTCCAAACTGAATGTCAGAATGGGAAAGAAAGGTGATTTAAGCAATTCTGAGCGAGGCATGGTTGTTGGTGCCAGACGGGCCAGTCTGAGTATTTCACAATCTGCTCAGTTACTGGGATTTTCACACACAACCATTTCTAGGGTTTACAAAGAATGGTGTGCAAAGGGAAAAACATCCAGTATGCGGCAGTCCTGTGGGCGAAAATGCCTTGTTGATGCTAGAGGTCAGAGGAGAATGGGCCGACTGATTCAAGCTGATAGAAGAGCAACTTTGACTGAAATAACCACTCGTTACAACCGAGGTATGCAGCAAAGCATTTGTGAAGCCACAACACACACAACCTTGAGGCGGATGGGCTACAACAGCAGAAGACCCCACCGGGTACCACTCATCTCCACTACAAATAGGAAAAAGAGGCTACAATTTGCACGAGCTCACCAAAATTGGACAGTTGAAGACTGGAAAAATGTTGCCTGGTCTGATGAGTCTCGATTTCTGTTGAGACATTCAAATGGTAGAGTCAGAATTTGGCGTAAACAGAATGAGAACATGGATCCATCATGCCTTGTTACCACTGTGCAGGCTGGTGGTGGTGGTGTAATGGTGTGGGGGATGTTTTCTTGGCACACTTTAGGCCCCTTAGTGCCAATTGGGCATTGTTTAAATGCCACGGCGTACCTGAGCATTGTTTCTGACCATGTCCATCCCTTTATGACCACCATGTACCCATCCTCTGATGGCTACTTCCAGCAGGATAATGCACCATGTCACAAAGCTCGAATCATTTCAAATTGGTTTCATGAACATGACAATGAGTTCACTGTACTAAAATGACCCCCACAGTCACCAGATCTCAACCCAATAGAGCATCTTTGGGATGTGGTGGAACGGGAGCTTCGTGCCCTGGATGTGCATCCCACAAATCTCCATCAACTGCAAGATGCTATCCTATCAATATGGGCCAACATTTCTAAAGAATGCTTTCAGCACCTTGTTGAATCAATGCCACGTAGAATTAAGGCAGTTCTGAAGGCGAAAGGGGGTCAAACACCGTATTAGTATGGTGTTCCTAATAATCCTTTAGGTGAGTGTATATTTAAATGAATATTTGTAAATCAGTATTCAATTTAGAATTAGTAAGCAAAAGCAAGCAGCCAAAAAGAGAAGGATGGCAGGAAGATGTAGGAAAAGGGAAGGAAATAAGGAGGAAAAAAGAACAGGATGCTTTTATAACGCTGCTCACTCTGCACAAAAATCGTAGGTTGGGGGTTTAGGCCATCCTGATCTGTCATTGGTAGCATGGTCATAACTCTGGGGGAACTTCCCGATTCAATGAGCCTGGTCTTTCACCTCACTGACATCATGCCAGAGCTTTTGGGGATTACATCAGTCTGTCCAGAAAGGCTCCGTCGGGTCCTTTACAAGGGTCCAGATTCTGCCCCTGAGTATGAACCTCTTCCATTCTCCACTTTGTGGGTGAAGGGAGATATGGGGACACAATAAAAATGCAGTCATTGGCACATGGGATCTGCTGAGAAAAAGCTAGATTGGCCACAAAGAGAGATGCACACTGTGTACCAGGACCGGGCAGCGATGCTGTCAAACACACACACAAGCTTCCCCC